CCACAAATTATGTCAATCATATCTCTAGATAATCATACGACATCCATCAAATACACAAATGGGTTTCACAAGCACCACGGTTGAGTGAACAGAAAGTCCTTCTCACTCTCTTTCCATTCATCCTAATCTCTACTGCTCAGTAGATACACAGCCACATTCATCTTAGTTATGCATGAGAAGGTGTATTTTAATTTTGAAATGGTGGTATTTTTTTATGTGATAAGAAGCATTTGGGTGGAATAAATGCCAAAAGTAAAATTTAGTTGTTAAATATGTAAATACAAAGGAATTGGGTGGTATGTATGTACATGCCCCGTAATGCCCCTAAAACTAAACAACTGGAACATAGAGCTTGAGAAATTGGAGGTCTATTAGGCTCCGTTTGGGGCAGCTTATCCATTGCGGCGGCGTTTTAAAAATATCGCCTCACCATTTGAAATTTATTTTTGAGCAGCTTATCCGAAAATGCAGTTGATTTTTGACACTAAACGCGGAAGGCGGGTCGAATTGTGCGGTTCGCGCTACCAAATAAGCGGCTTATCTAGATAAGCATAAACTGCCCCAAACACTTCCTAAGCTCTTGGAGTTGGCTAATAATCATATTTCAATTGAAGAGTACAATTCCTTTCGAAGTACATTTAGGACACGAGTTAGGAGATAAACTCTGAAGATAACCTCAAAGAGATCGAGAGAACCGAAGAAGTCACTTTGATCGAAGGAATCGTCGAAATGCCTCTGGGGGGTGCTTTCACCAACAAGGATGAGAACCCCTAGCCTAATGCTAATTAGAGGAAGACCATAAAGGAGATAGGAACCTCCTCAATTCCCTCTGACGGAAATAACATCTTTGAGAGCATCCATGGTCGAAGTCATTGAGGCCATCCAAAACAAAGAATATTGAAAAAATTCGTTGATGGTATGAGCAACAAGTTATCAATGTGATCTAAACAGATATCGTGCTTACCATCGAGATCATGATCATGACACCGAGGAGTGAAGACATTCTGGAACTCATCGAAGAGCTTATTAGAGCAGAAAGTTAAAAGAGTTTATGGCCTTGGAGGCAAAAACTCGAAGACAAGGGAAGACGCTCGCTGAAGACATGAGTAATGAACCCATTCTAGCGAGAGTAGTATAAATCGATGGTGGCATACTCGTTATCTTAGGAGGAGACGTACTTGAAGCTTCACGACGATCCAGCCTAAAGCGACTCAAGATGGGAGAAGTCAATTTGACCAAAATCGTTAGGTCAATTGCCCAGATCCATCCACTTATCACCTTTACAGATGTCGATCTACCCACCGACAGAAACCCTTTTAACGACGATATTATAGTTATGGTGACGATCTCAAATTATCATATCAACAAGATCTTAATAGACATAGAAAGCTCCGTGAACATCCTGTTCAAGAAGGTTTTTGAGAAGATGGGCATCACCGATGCCCAGCTCGCACCCACCTCCAAACCACTCTACGAATTCTCGAGGGAAAGGAGACGTGTGAAATGACCTCCCTACCGGTGACTTGGAGAAAAAGAGAAAGGCAATACACCACATCAACTAATTTCATTATAGTGGATGCCCCGAACTCTTAAGATGCTATCTTTGGAAGATCGGTACTCAACATTTTCAAAGCATTCACATGTAAAAATAGTGACCTCCACTTGCCATATAACAATAAAGTTTCCAAGCGGAGGACACTGTTCAAGGATATTTGGTCCAAGCCCGAACTTATTACCTGCGGGTCGTGATGAACATACAAGAAGATTTACTCCAGCTCGACACAGGTAAAGGCAATGGCCTAGAGGTCACTGAGGTTGCAGAGCAAGTACCAATTTCAAAAGAAGAAATGAACAGAACCTTCCAAATCAGCTCAAGTTTTATCAGAGAACAAAAATATCAATTAATTACAATCCTAAGAGAACATCATGATATATTCGCATGGATGGCCAACGAGATGCCTCGAATAGACAACAATATCGCTTGCCATATATTGAACGCGAAGTCAAGAGCTAAACCAGTCAATCAAAAGATGAGAGTTGTGGAGACCACCCTAGTCGAACCTATTTGACAGGAAGTTTATAAGATGCTAGACGCAAATTTTATCCGAGAAGTACATTATCTGGATTGGCTAGCAAACGTGGTGATGGTGCGAAAAGTGAACAATAAATGGAGAACGTGTGTTGACTTCAATTATTTGAACTCGACGTGTCCAAAAGCTATCTATACTCACAAATTGACCCATTAATTCATTCTACAATGGGACATTCAATCATGAGCTTTTTAGACACCTATGAATATTACCAAATCAAGATTCACCCTGCATATAGAAAAGACCGCAATTATCACTAGAGGGGTGAATTGTTATAATGTAATGCATTTTGGTTTGAAAAATATTGGAGCCACGTATAAAAGACTTTTGGATGTAATATTCTCAAAATAAAAAGGAAGAAACGTTGAAATCTATATTAATAATCTTCCAGCAAAAAGCAAATTGCCCGAACAACACATGTGAGATTTGGAGGACACATTCAATACTTCAAGAAAGTTCAACCAAAAATTCAATCCTCTAAAGTGTACTTTCAGAGCGAGCTCGACAAAATTTCTAGGGCACACACCCGAAGGGATAACGATAAACCTCGAGAAAATTTAAGCCATACTAAACATTCCGCCTCTAATGAACCTTAAGAATTTGTAAACTTTGAACAAGCGAATTGTAAGCCTCAATAAATTCATATTCAAATTTTAAGACCAGTGCTCATTATTGTTCAAGACTATAAAATATTCTAGTCACTTTCTTTGGCCTAAAGAATGCGACCAAGTATTCAAACAGCTAAAATTCTTATTAACATCACCTCCTCTACTACAATGCCCAAAGTCAAAGGAAAACTTATTCATTTATCTAAGACAAGAAAAAGAAGCAGTCAGTTCAATACTAGTTTGCGGGGACAACAAGAAGCAGTTTCTCATATATTACATAAGCAAATTCCTACGTGGACCTGAACCAAGATACATGATAATGGAGAAACTCTCATTGAGATTAATCATCTCCATGATAAAATTGCGAACATAATCCAAGCTCATGTTGTACATGTAATAACTGGCCATCCATTGAAATCAATATTATCTAAAACTGATCACTCTGGAAGACTGCTTAAATGATCGGTAGAGTTAAGTGAGTTCAACAACTTATATACACCTAGAACAACAATCAAAGCTCAGACAATGCTAACTTCCTATCGAATTTTCTAAAGGATTGGTGATCAAGGAAACCAACGTTAATCACAATAAGCTCTAGACACTCTACATAGATGGAGCATCTGGAAATCAAAGAAATGGAGTAGGTATGGTTGTACAAAGTTCCAAGATTCGTATTTCATCATTCTATGTGAATTAATTTCGACGCAACTGACAATCAAGCAGAGTATGAGATGTTGCTCGCAGAATTGAGATTCTTGTTAGGGATTGGAGTAACACATACTCATAAAATCTTATTCTCAACTATTGGACAATCAAGTTAAAACGGAAATATGAAAACTTGAGTACTTTTAGGTCGGGCATATTCCCAGGGAAGAAAATCAATTTGTTGACTTCCTTTCTAAGGGAGAAGCTATTGAGAATAAATGGTTCGTTACTCGATCGTCCAATCATCGAAGAAGCTGAAATCACAAACGTCAAGTCAGAATCCTCTATAAGTTAGATCGACCATATATAAGAATATTTATCTCAGAAGTTTAGAACTAAGTCCGCGTAGTACTTGGTCATTAACAACGAGCTTTTCTGGAAATCATTAATTTAATTTCTCTCAGATGTGTTCGAGTGAATAGAGAATGTGGTAGTCATTCGGGAGGAAGAATTTTGACAAACAGAGTATTAAGACAAGGATATTACTGCCCAACAATAAGGAATAATGCAAATGAATTCTCTAAAAAAATATGAACAGTGCCAAAAATTCGCCCCTATGCGGTTACAACAATCTCACAAATTACAAGCAATAAATAGACTTTGGTCCTTCGCATTATGAGAGATGGACCTACTCGACCTATTTCCTCCTGCCAAAGAACATCAAAATACATCATTGTCATGGTTGATTATTTCTCAAAATGGATCAAGGTGAAGGCCCTAGCCAAGATAACCACGAATGTAGTCCATAATTTTATTTGGACTGATATTATTTGTCGATACAGTCTAGCCATGGTGATTTTCACCAACAACAAAACTCGGTTTGTCAATTAAAAATTGAAAGATTTATGTGGTAACTAAGGAATACACTTGAAATTCACGTCCATGCATCATCCTAGGATAAATGGTCAGGTAAAAGTAGCCAATAAACTAATCCTGAATCTGCTCAAGAAGAAACTAAAAGGCGCAAAAGGCAGATGAATTGAAATCTTGTCATCGGTGTTATGGGTACTCCAAACCACACCTTGCACATCCACTGGATAAATCCCTCATATCATGTAACATGGGGTCGAGGTTGTACTTCTTATAGATCATGACATTTATAGCCAACGAGCAGTAGCTGCAATGAACGTCAAAGAATATTCGTTAGAAGAATGGAGAATAACAAATGAAGACGACCTAAGTAACTCATTGGATTTCTTACAAGACCTCAAAGACGAGTCTTCTCCGCGCCAAGAAGAACCAAATGAAGCAAGGCAAAATACTACAATGCAAAAGTCAAGGAACAACAATCTAAGTCAGGCAACCTGATATTAAAAAAATTTGACGACGTGGATCGTGATCAAGCTCTTGAAAAACTTGACTTATCGTTAACTGGTCTTATATTATCAAAGAACAAGCTAGACCTTGAGAATCTTATCACATACCTCGGCAATGATGTCCCTAAAAAAAGTTGCGGAGACGACTAGAAATTTTTTTATGCATAGAGTGGCAACTCGCCGACACTCACAAAAAAGCTAAATATTTTTAATACATCAATCGATACATGAGCCCTACATTCCACACTGAAATTTGTTTATGAAACAAGTCGAAATGAGCTGTCCAGATTGAAATATTAAAGAGCCTTGCCAAGGTGATGCAGACTGCCCTCTCTCAGAAAGGTTAGAGACCCCAGGCGACAAAACCTTGCATAAGTAACCCAAGTGCCCCCAATAAAGTAAAACCTGCAAGAGAGTCGAAAAGCCCCTAAGTAGAAGATTGTTCCTACCAAAGGCGATTCTCTTTTTTCTCAAAAATAGATAAAGAAACATATCAACTACAATTAATTTCTTATGATAAATAGTTTGGCAAAACAAAATATATTATGGAGGCAATAGGGCAAATTGAGCTAGCACTAGCAGGAGTCGCAAAAGGATATCAATCACTAGCATTTTATGGAAGATTTCTGAACCATATATGGAAGCTATCAATGAAGAAATAAAGTTCCTCTGGTATGAAGGAGTCAGATATCTTTCCTTTGCATGGAATCCATGGGACAAAGTATATATGTACCTCATGCACTTCAAATATCTTCTTTAAAACTTCCTCTATAAGAGCTAATCTTAAATCTCCATCTTTATAAAGACATTTACAAAAAAGAAAGTCATAACTAGAGGCTCAACAAATTGCCCATCTCTAAGAAGAAATGAGTAAAGCAACAATCAAACAATATAAAATGAATATTATATGATGTAAATGTTTTAAATCAAGGTAAAGAGCATTGAGGGTTGTAAAACTCCATTATAGGGACTACAAGGGTCAAGTATGCCACTATCTAGTATCAACCAAAAATTGATACAATGGATATGACGTAGGGAAACTACTATATAAAAGAATTAAGGCATCCGAGAGCTCTTATAGCTACAAATGCCTACATTAAGATAGTAGTTTACACTTTATCTTATTCATTGAAGTTGCAAGAATTCCTTTTTCATGTTCAACAAGAGTTAAAGACTATTATGATTAAGCATTAAAATGAGTTGACTGGAGAAACTATGCTATCTTTGACTATGATCTAAGTATAATTGGGTCCAAATCTAATATATTTTTTCAAGTAAACTAGTCATCCTCATCCGCAATATAGCCATAAAGAAGTGGATGAATCATCTATAAAACAAGCACCCTACAAGAGGAAAACATTGAATTAGTAAATGAAAAACTCTTAACTAGTTTCATATAGAATTCACATGCAAATGTTGATAAGAGATTCATTATAAATAGTTCGCTTATAAATTTACTTAAATACTATCTTGTTTCATTGAAAAGCCACAATAAAAACACTTATCTGATAATCAACCATGTTCTTATAATTCAAGCAATAATATAGTTTTCTAGAACGAACTTTTAATGTTCATTCCTCCTAGATTCTCTTGAGAAAGGACTCGAGTTTTCATATCATGCTCCCCAAAACCTTGATGTTCCGAATCATGGTCATCATAAAAACTACAAAAATTAGCAAGGGCAAATGACCTTTAATGCATTATGCTAGTCTACCATCAACCAACCTCAATGTTCTTAGTATACATCCCGTTTAAGCAAAAATGATCGTGCATCGTTATCGAAGAGACAAATGGCTTAGAGTTGTCAAATCCCTTATCGTGCAATAAAATATATCATGATATCCATTGAACATATGAGTAAGCATGATTCCCTTTAATAATGACGTTCATGGCCTTCCTATTCAAAAGCACATCATTTTATCGTCAGCAAAAGGGATCCATGGTTTCTTTTGAGAATAGCTTTTCTTAATCTCAAGCATATTTGGCCCATAGAGGATCATTTTCATCTAATAAATGCCTCTTTGTTGTTCACTTTCATCAAAAGTTAGGAGAGCTTCCAAAGTGCATCTCCTATCTTCTAATGGGTGTAGAGCATCATTCAACAACAACAACAAATCCTTATCCCAGTAAGTGTGGTCGGCTACATGAGTAGAGCATCATTCAACAACAACAACAACAACAACAACAAGCCTTTATGGTCGGCTACATGAGTAGAGCATCATTCAACGAACACTTGAATACAAGCTTGCTCTCTATAACTTAAAGCCCAGTGAGAAAGGCATTTGGTCGTATGATGAGCCCTCCAACACCTTTACATGGCCAAATTGACTAAGGACTTGATCCGCTAGCATGCTTGTAACATGAATCGAGGATTGAATTGAGGCTTGAAGCTGGCCTCATTTTGCAAAGCACAACTGCTCGATATTAAAAATTTGTGCCGAAGTTGGCCATGCATGCATTAATCGATGGTGGCGCTATTCATGAAGCTTCTCCTAGCTACCATGGGCAGGGCAACTCCCTCATTCCTGGGAGTCATCCTCCAATGCTCAGGATAGTTGAAGAGCCTTTGCCCAAGCCCTCCTATTCCAACATCATTCCCTTAGTAGGGGATCCTTCACAATGGCTATGGCATGAGTAATCATCTAGAAATCTATAATAATAATAATAATAAGTTATGGATTGCAATTGTGGACAAAATTGTAATTGCAATACAACAAGGATGATATAAACCACAATGCTGAGTTGTTCGTCAAAATCCATGGAGAAAACAAAAATCAGCATATCTTGAAGGAATGTGCAAACGTTAAAGTAAATTACAAGCTTCACCTGAATTCGTTTCCTCCTCATATCACAGCTAAATGTAGCTCTAGAAATAGTCTCCAATATTGCAAGAACTTTTTTTGGGCATCCTTGGAATCTTTACTATTTTGTGGAAAAAATAGAACAGAAATCTAACGTCTAAAACCAAAAGTCAAGTTAATTTGCTCGCTTCTGTAGTTAGAGGAAGAAACCAAATAGCTCTCTCTCTGTTCTTCGTTTCCACCAACCTGACTTTTAAAGGAACTTTGCCTAACGCCAAAATTGCTTCAAACCTAAGTATCCAATATTCTTGCTTTTCTTCACAAAATGAAACCAAAGTATAATCGAATTAAAAACTAAGTCAAAATTAAAAAAATAATAATAATTCAAAGATAGAATTAGCTTATACCCAATGGCTTCGTCTCTCTTCAACTGTGCCTTGCGAGCCTTACGAATATCTGTATCGTTGGAATTCCTTGCAACTGCTGGTTCATAAACCCGGAATCTCCTCTTCGGTGCACCACAAACTACAGAAATAAACTCGCAACACTCAGATTAATCTAACAAACATTGAAACAGTCCAAAATACACTTCCGTGATGGATTAGAGTATAAGCGTAGCAATCAATGCATTCCAAAAAGAAAGAAATTGCTTCATTGCATAAAAATTTAAACTCGGCTTCAAATTGAAGACCTTACTTATTTACCTGGGCAGAAGTAATTGTCAGGCAACTTCTCAAAGGCTGTCCTCTCATTGTAAATATAACTGCAACAAAAACCGAGTTAATGTCCATGGAATCAAAAGCAACGAAACGAATTAACAAGCACAGATTGGGGTAAGAAGAAGCAGGAAACCCGCAATCTCTACAGATGTAAGTCTGTTTGGAGGCCACACGCATGGAGAATCTGGGTGATGCGGTGCCGGCCAGTCGAAAAGGAGAAAGGAAGAGCTTCACAGAAGGAGATATGTAGGAGGAACGCAGCGCAAAAGGATCAAGAGGTCGACGTAGTCCGGTCGTACCGGGTTGAAGTGGTAAGAGGATTGATGGAGTGGCAGACGCTGAAGCGATGGTGGAAGGCCGTAAGGCTGCTGGAGATGCATACTGAAATGCCATGGAGGGCTTGAATCACTGTATGCCAATAATCAGCTTGGAGTCTGATACTTCTGGCTGGGTGGTATCTGGAAATTGCGAGAAGATAAGAGAAGAGGAGTATGAGCTTGATTTGGCGAGCATATTCGTTCTGGTTTAAGGTTTTGGGAAGGGGGAGCGCGTGGCAGCCCCTTATCCTGTCGATCTCACAGTGTTGAGAAAAATTTGCTTGCTTTAGAACAGGAGGGCATGTGGGGTTATATCCTCAACCTATCATGATTTTTAAATATATGAAAACACAAGCTCAACTTATTAATTACAGTTAAGTTACAGACATGTTATAGAGATATAATACAAATATAATTCTCAATACTCTCCCAATAATCTATCTAACATACGCAACGCTGCCTAAGTGTGTAAATTTTTCTCCGCAGTGTGTGCTATAAATTGTTGTGGAACTTCTTTAAATTATTTTAAGTGAATTTATTGGTAGATTTGTGAGTGTTATAGTTCGAACTTTACCCACATAGCTCTATGAACACAAGTATGTATCTATTTCACAACTAAATATTACAATTTATATTTTTTGAACTTAAACCTTTCAAAAATTTCTTGAGTGGCCCTTCCTCCTTTCATGTGTGATAAACACATCTGAGAGGCTTTGCCCCTCTTCCAAGTCGAGAGGAGCATCCCAAAGGCTCGTACGACCACATCAACTCCATTTGACTAGCCAAATGTTGTCCTTACCTGCTAGAAGCTACAACAACTTGTGTCTTCCTCTTCCTTATAAAGTGATGATGACGTGATTTAATCTACTATGTCGGCTACGACCCTTTCAACTGCTCCTCTCAGGCTGTCTTCCAAACAAAACTGACTTAGAACATGCTCACTTCAAGTGTCTTTCAAATATTTTCAACTTTCTCATTCCGTAATATGACTAGCCAACTATACGTTGCTTACTTCCTCCAAATCAGAAGTAGTAGTAACGTGCCCTAACATATTGTGTTGATTGCACCCCTATATGTTGCTCTCCTTAGGTTACCCTCTAAAGTATACCACTAACAGTTTTTCTATTTAGGTAGCCGTCAAGTCTTTATAACATACATATTAGATCTCTCAAATCCACTAGCAATTGAGATTGATATGTCGTGCATGAAATTTGAACTCTGGATATTGTTAGGTGATGAAGTACAAACTCAAATAGGAAACTTTTAGTGGCAGAAGTTTTAATATAAGGTCCTCGCATGTTTTACTATTGTTTGATATTCTTGAAATTAAAGTGCAGTTACACATTTTATTAGCAATTAATGGAACAACATTGAGAACTTCAAAACATGGAGTGGGTGAGTTAAATGGAAGCAATCTTGTTTTATTTTGGCTTTTGATCAATTTAGTTCAGATTTGTTCATAGATTAGTTCAAGTTAGTTGTCTTAATTTGTTTATAGAGATGCTTTGATCAATTGAAATGCATTTATTTTATTGGGCATTTTTTGTTTTCTTGAAGTTTGTTAATTATATTTCTTCTTTCAGATAATACATATTAAAAGACGAGTTCTTCTCATTCATCAAGTTCAAGAGGCATTAAAAATTGTATCATTTGTAATGAATGATATTTAATTGTTATAAAAGTTAGATATGTGTGTGGTGATTTTACAAATATCCAATAAATTGATCTAAAGTTGATTGGAATTATTTTAGATGGATAAATGAAGCTTATGATGTATGAGTTGGCATTAATCTTGAAAGAAGAGTGAAATTTGAAGACATTTTTTGGTGGAATTTGAGGCCCTAAAATTTCAGAAGTGGAATATGATAACAATATCTATAATTATAATTATGAAATGATTTTTTTTTTTGGGTTTAGGAGATTTTTAATGTTCTGATGTATTTGAAAATATGATTTTTTTGTAATCCCAACATTACTAGTTGATAAGTGTAATTTATGCGAAATTAATTCAATTCTTGGTAATATCTTAAGTTTTTATGTTAATTTCTATTATTGTTTCATATACTTTTGTTCCTTTTTTACATTTTGTGGGTATGTTATTTGTGCAGTTAACAGATAACGAGCTTTACATCGGCAGCAGTAACATAGATCTTGGCGCCTATAAGCCAAGCTATGGGCACATACGCACCCAATTCCTACTCCACGCAACTTGCAGACAGAGAGCTTGTAGCATTTGTGCCATGCTATCAGAGCATAAGCGCCAACCCACCTCTTCAAGCGAAGGAGAATGCATGGGGCCTATGTGCCAAGCAGTGGGCACTTATGCGCCTACAATTTACAAGGTGCATGCATGAAGGCTTGGCGCATATGCGCTCAACAGTTGATGCCTATGCACCTACATATATATTTGGTGCTCATGCGCCAATTTCTTCAACAAGTTTGCGTCGAAGCTAGTTGGAGGTAGTTCAGGAGGAGATGTAAAGCCTCGATCATCCGATTTTAAAAAGAGGAACCATGAAGGATAGGAGGAGGGATATATAAAAAGAAAGATCACAAAGAAGCAGGTGCTCAGTTCCTCATTTTATTTCCTTAGAACTTCTTCATAGTGGAGGACTTCTTCTCAGGAGAATTCTTAGATAGAGAGAGGGAGAGGATTGAGTGCCATTGTATAGAGAGACCGATGAGAGTTTTATTGCTTTTATTTGGAGAAGGCTTTAAACACATTTGTGTGGAGGCATTCCAAGTGTGAGATCTAGTTTGTTATTTTAACTCAACTCTTGTATTTTGCTTTTATTTTAATGAATCAAAGTTTGAGTTTTGCGTTTCAAAACATATCCAGGAACTAAATTTCCCGATTCTCTTCTGATTTGATGAATAAAACTATAGGTTTTGATGGTTATTTTGAGTTGGACAATGTGGTGTTATGGTGAAAATTAATCTCTCGCATATTTTTGTTTCAATGCAAACTGGTCACTTGTTGCGTAAAGTTATTTTATGATCTTTGTGATACAGAAGTATCCTTAGTGGAATATTTGAGATTAATTTCATTAAACTCTGAGAATAAGGACATTACTTAAGCTTAGTGCTAACTTGATAGGAAATGTTTAATTCTGGGAACTCATTAGTGGAATTCACTTTCTTAATTTTGCCAAAAGGGGGTGAGAAAGAGAATTCCACTAGATGCAGGGAACTCATTAGTGGAATTCACTAACTTTCTTAATTTTGCCAAAAGGGGGTGAGAAAGAGGATTGTTCCTGTTTATCACCTAGTATCGACATTTCATCAAGCCTGGATTTTCTAGGATTCATTTTATGGGAGAATTCATCTCTCACATAAGTATTTTCACTTAATTAAGAAAAGATTTATTTTTTTTTTTGCAAAACTTATGTAAACACTTTACTTTGAACTAAAATTGAAAATTTTAAGGTTTGGACTGATAATTATAGACTAAAACTTTTTCAAATTGTGTTCATCTCATTCCCTGTAGGATGAACAATTGGACTCCAACCCAGTGCTACTGATACGTCATATATACTTGTGTGAATTGCCTGTGCCTCACAACACTTGGTTCATGTCAAGTTTTTGGCATCATTGTTGAGGAATGACAGTGAAGTCAAATTATGATGTTTTAGATTGACTTTTAGGTTTTAGACTTAAAAATCCTAATGTTCACTACTTCCTGTATTTATATTATTTTCTATTTAGTTACAAAACCCAAAACTATCTATTTAATACTTGTTTGATTGTGCACTTGTATCCTTGTTTTCTTTTAGTTGTTCGATAATCCCTGTAGTTTGCTTGTTGTTTGATTTAGTTTAATTGTTAAGAGTTTATTCTATGTTGTGAGTATTCATTTGAATTGTTTAATATTCTCTTTAGTTTAGGGTCTATTGCTAGTTGAACTTAGTAGGTGTATGCGTAGTTCAGGATCTTCTGACCTTGAACTTTATGATCCTGAGTTAGAGAGAACCGTTAAAAAAATTAGAAAATTAAAAATACTTCAAAAATTTCTAGGAGAGAGGACTCATATACCTCATAATAATTTTGATGATCATGCAAAACATAATTTCAAGCCATATATGGATCAGTTCGGACTGCTCTATATTGGCTCGTAGCATTTTTTATTTAATATATATATAATGCTAAGTAAAATTGAATATAATAAGTCAAGAGCTATTTTCGATCTAGAAAATATCCAAATAACTTAATGTGAGCCAATCTACCGATTCCCAACTGAAATTGATCCAAATAACTCAAATTTCAGTTACCTTGTTTAGATTTCAAGCTGAATCAAGCCTGATTCAATTTCGAGCAAGTAAGGCTCGAAATCAGATATAACAAATCACGAGTCGACTTTGAGCCACACTAAACCCAAACACCACGGTCAGCTCACACATATGGATTGTGTTGTCAGCGCACACGTGTGGATTGTGTGAACCTCTTGTCTCAAACATCCACGATAAGGATAATGAAGATAACAGAACCTAACTCAGAAGCCAAACATCCAAGCAATAACCAGTCCACAGACAACACAAAGCAGAATGAGACTAATCATTCCCCTCCTCTTCCTCTTCGTGCTCAACAATGCTACCACCATAGACCACCACGAGGACCCAGCGCCGACGCCAGCAATGTGGCCGGAGCGCTTCCACGCTCTTCTGTACATGAACCTCAGCAGCACCAAGCTACAGCTTTCTGACCTCTGGTACGATTGGCCTCGCGGGCTAAACCTTAACCTAATGCAGAAGCAGCTCGGTCCCTTGCTCCATGATGTCGAGTGGAACAATGGCACCTCCTTCTATTTTACTCTAACGGGCAGAGAGGAGTACTGCCGCGTGGTTGAGTTTGGGGTGGGAATTCCCCGGCCGGACTTCCTCGCCGGAGCCACCTACTTGGGCCGCCGGAGAACCGATGGATTCCTATGCAACCTTTGGGAGAAGATCGGGTTTATTTGGTACTACGAAGATGTGGTCTCTCATCGCCCTGTGCGTTGGGACTTCTATGACGGTTAGTTAAATCCATGGGAATACTTGGTTTTGTTTTTGTATGAAATGAAATTTTGGATGTCGTCGCCTAGGCGGTATTTGGCAGCATAATGCATCTTAGGGTTTAGGACTGCACGCTAGAGTAAAGTGAGGATTAGGTATCCATGTTTTATGGCAGAGCTTAGGTTATATGTTAAGTGGACTTTAGGGTTTAAGAAACCCTGCAAAGAATAATAGAAAGGGTGTTCTTTTCTAATAAATTATTAGTTGTGGACTACATAGAAAATCTTGGTGTGGATGGAGTGTGTTTTTTGAAGTGGAACCGTGAATGTTATTGTGGGGTTATTGGGAAGTCATTGAGGTTATTGCAGCGTTATTAAAGTTAATACCCCAATAATCTCACAATAACTCCCAAGAAGCTTCCCAAATAACCTCTGCGGATTAACTTTAATTTTTTTAGGTGGGCCCGATATAACACACATTGCAGATTAACTTTAAATTATTTAAGTGGGTCCGATATAACACACATGACGACATATTACTGCATATTACTTGAGTCCGCATGTTGAGCTGCTTACGTACTCCATATGAAATAATTTCTAGTCCGCACGTTGAGCTGCTTACGTACTCCATATGAAATAATTTCTCATGTGGATGATAGGAGAATGCAATTTTGTACTCACTCTGTATAAAGTACCGAATTGGATACTCCATTTGTTAGAGTACACAATTGTGTACTGTGTACTCATTCTGTACCTTGGTACTCTGCACATTGGTCCTTCGATTTTGGGCTATTCAGAATAGACTATAAAACTATATCATCCTAAGGAAATATACCTTTATAATCAGTTCTTTTAAATGAAGAAATATTTTGCTCGTTAGAATAAAAGACCTACGTCAACGATGATGTTTGAAGCTCTTCAAATCATGAACTATGACATGTTCACAGGAATATCCACTCATGTTATGACATTTGAGGTGGGAGCAGTGCTGGAAAAGCCCAGGTTGTGGCAGGCACCGGCTTATTGTTTTAGCGGCGGCGGCGGCGGCGGCGAAGTTAGTGTTGAAAAATGGACAAAGAATGGAGATGGCCATAGTTTAAGGAAACTCATTTCAAGATTTTAGGACTTGTTAAGAAATCCAAAGAAATATCAGACTTCTCATGGCAGACCTTTTTCAGAAATCCATCATCATTTGCTTTAGTGTATTATGTTAATATGAACATTCATTATGTATTTCCATATTAAAAGGACAGTCGATGTGAGGTGAAAGTTGTATAATATGGCATCAATAGTTTGGCTTATACATATTTCAAATGGCAGAATAGAAGGCACATAAATTGTCAAGGGGTACACCACACAATTCTTATGTATTTATATATATGACACCCAAACTTTCATATTTATACATGCATAACACTCAAAGGTTCAATATCACATCAAAAATATCATTATGAATTACTTTTAAAAATGAAATACACCTTCTCATGCATAAAGTTTTGATGTCAAAGTGTTATAAATGTGAATACCAAGTTTTATGTGTTTGATATGTAAATACAAAAAAAAAAAAATAGTGTGGTATGTATGTAAAGGGAGCAAGAGAAAAAAATTATATATATATATATCACAATATCCCCTATGCAAATAAATCACTTAGGTGGTATGAATTCAAGGATAATCAAATATTCATTTAATTATTATTATTTTTATTTTTTGTAGGTATATTTGAGAAAATAAAAAAATTATGATAATAAATTGATATGTTTTGTATTATTTTAGGTTTAATTTTAATTTTACGTGTTGGTAAAATCAAGTGCTTCATTTACGGTTTGGGGTAGCGTTGAGGTGGAGGTGCAGCACTACATCGTAGTTTTGCTCTCTTGTATAAACTGTGTTTTGCAAGTTTTTTAAAAAAAGCTGACGCTGAAATCAACGTTTTCCACCGGTTTTGGCTAAGTGCGGTCTAACTTTTTCACAAAAAAATAAAGTAATAGCCAACCCAGCATTTTGCAACATTAAAGTATTATTGAGCAGTTTCACAACAGTTTTTAAATAAGCAATAGTTGCCATAAACAAACCCTTTGTTGTATCAAGAGTCTATTTTAAAATTTCTTTCAAACAATAAATCTAATATTTTTTTCCATCTTGATTATATTTAACAATATCTAATAGTATATGATAATTTAATTGTATTATCTAATAATCTAATGATATTTATCTTTTGAATTTAATTATATTATTTAAATTTTATTTATTTAATTATTTTATAATCAAATTATCCGCTTCCTATCAAATTTTCTTTTACTTTATTGTCCATGCTGGAAAATACGACGCAACATAATACAAAGTAGAAAAATTTACATATATACCACTCACTTTTCATATATTTACATGTCTATAACCTAAACTTCAATTTTATGCGACACCTTATCAATATATGACTTTTTAAATTTTTTGTATTTACATATCTAACACCTAAACATTCATATATTTACAGCCATACCATTTAAATCTTAAACAGCTATTTTTATACTTTTAAGTGTAAATATCAAATGTTAAATATAGCCTAAACATTCATATTTACAATATATGAAAAATTTAAGTGCTATAAGTTATACATGTAAAAGAAAAAATGTAAAATTTGGGGGTTGGATTTGTAAAAAAACAAAAGAACTGGGTGGTATGTGTGTAAATGCCGATAGAGGTTTAAAGTCTCCTCGACTCGAGTGGCTTCGCGGGAAGGCGAAGCTTGCAAACTATCATGTGCCGGCTAAAGACAATCGGAGTGGTGCTCGTCTGTGTCCTGGCGGCGGTGATCGCCTGCTTCTCTTCCGCTCCGTCGCGAGAACTTACTGCGTTGGTGGATTCAGCCAGAGAACATCTCTATGGAATGGTAAAACCCTTTCTTGATTCCTCTCTCTCTATTTCTGTTGACTGCTTTTTCCGATAACTTCTTCTACAAGGCTCTATATACTTCAAGGGTTGGATTTGGTTTCGAATTATCTGTTTCTGGGAAAATGTGATCGGGAGGAGAATATAGTTGAGTTTTCTGTTTTGGGTTTGAATGGATTCGGATGAGGAGCTTCGTTTAATTGGTTGAGTCTTTTTGCTTCTTCTACAGAAGAAGTTGACTGTGGTGAAGTGGATTGTAATTCAATATTATGTTGCTTATAGTTGTGACCGAATAAGAACTGAAAGGATTTTAAACTAAAATGCCAAAAACTGATATATATATATATATAGATGTATAGTCCTTCACAATGTTTTGGTTTGTGTGGATTTGTTAAGAGAGTTACTTGGACTCCTAGAGTGAATTAATTTCTTGAATCCAAGTCGGATGAGTCTCGAATGAATTAGTTTATATTCAATCAGAAGTATTTGGCTCTGTTCTTGTTGTTGAACTCCGCAACATAGGTTAGTGCCAAACAAATTCTTTGAACTTACGTTGTCTCAGAGACTCTGTTCATCTATATGTGCAGGTTTCCAGATACCATAAGTTTTCTAAGGTAAGACTGTCCGCACTGCTTCTTTCAACTTCATTCTTTTTAATTATGGCTCCTGATTGCTATTCCTTCAGGATATCAAAGAAATTCCTCCATTGGTGGATTCAAAAGGAAGAGAAAAAGCTTCTGACGTTTCAGCACTCAAGGATGCCCTTAAGTATTTTGATGCCGATTTTTTCAATGAATCGAAAGTACTTATTCGCTTTCTCTCTTCCTTAGCACTTCAATGCACTAGATTAGACATAACACTTTTTAATTTAATTAGGTGCGTGAAATAGCTGAGGGTGCAAAAGAGTTCAATATACCCGGGTTCAGAGAGAACCGCAAGTTGGTTGCTTCTGTAGACGGAGGGCTACATAACCCTTCTGTTCTAGTGTTTGGTTCATCTTGGGGTGTCAGAGATGGGAGCCATGATTCTCCTAAATTTAATTATCCCAATCTATCTGGTGTGAAGAGACCAGAAGAGGAGGAGGATATTGCTTTCATGACTGTAGGTTACTAGCTTTATCATGAATTTTTCATTTAAGCAAGAGAAAAAACATTTACACTAATATGTTTAATGGCTTCTTCCCAGATTCTTGAACTAGGCGCCCTTATTAAGACTAAACAGATAACTTCGAGTGAGCTTACAGCCATTTTCTTAAGGAGGTTGAAGAGGTATTTTTGAGTTCATAAATTGTTTTTTAAACTTTTTTCTTCCCTTCTATCACTTTCCTTATAAAAGGAAAATATCTAAAAGCTCCAGCTTTGAAATTGCCTCACTATGTGAAACAGATATGATCAAATCCTGGAAACAGTGATTACATATACTGAGGAATTAGCATATAGTCAAGCAAAGAAGGCGGATGAGTTACTTGAACAAGGAGTATATTTGGGTACATTTATTTATCCAAATTTTGATATTTTATGGTAATTTGTATGGCAGCTCACTTGCCAATCCTTCTTTGTGATTTTGCGGCAATTTAGGTAGAATCAGGTAATCTAAACATTATAGTGAAAGAAAAATAAGCTCAGGGTTTATTGCTCGGATTTTTATGATCAAGTCCTGCCAGTAGTTTTTAACCAAACTATTTTTATGATTTTGCTTTTGCGTGGGCAACTAAAAAGCCTTAGTTAATTTATGTAAAGTTTAAATTTAATACATGAGATTTGTTAGAGTTTCTAATAATATTTCGTTGCTGTTGGCTGTTTGCTTTTCTTTCAGGTCCGCTTCATGGAATTCCTTATGGATTGAAAGATATCGCCGCTGTGCCTGGCTATAAGACAACATGGGGATCAAAGTCATTCAGGAATCAAGTTATTGATACTGAAGCTTGGGTTTATAGAAGGTGGTTTAACCATGGTAGCTTTTAAGGTATATGGTAGATAGCTTACTGATCGATGCAACCTTATTATTGAAGGCTTAAAGAGGCAGGTTCAGTCCTCATTGCAAAGCTCGTAACTGGATCATTGGCCTATGATGATATCTGGTTCGGAGGAAGGACCAGAAACCCCTGGAACATTGAGGAATACTCAACTGGCTCATCAGCTGGACCTGCTGCCAGTACTTCTGCAGGTTATGCCCACCTTTATAATATATTTTATTGTTTTTCGCCATCAGAAATTATGAAACCCCTCAAGGAACTCTTAAATATTGAGGAACATTTTTGATGTAACAGTTAGAATTTCATCAGAAACTCCAACGTTAAGCGTGCTTGTGTTGGAGCACTCTTAAGATGGGAATCTCTGCCTGGTGGATTATTCTGGGTTAAAAATATTGATGAGGACATCAATTATTTAAGTTAGGAGATTGTGAAACCTCTTTAGTAGAATGGAGCTGAACTCTTAAACATCGAGACGCTTTTTAATATAACGGTTGAAATTTCATTAGAAACTCCAATGTTAAGCGTGTTCGTGCTGGAGCATTCTAAGGATGAACCCCAAGGGGATAAAACTGTGAGGCCATTATGTCTAAGCAGACAATATCTAGATGGATAGAGTTCGTACTGTCACAAAAATTTAAAGAAATACAGATCAACCTGTAATTGATTCAGAGTCTTTCTGTTTTCATGTCAATATTTGATACTAATTTCCATGTTTGAAATATTTGTTGCTTTATTTGACAACTAGTGGTCTATGACGTGAAATTTTCAGGGCTTGTTCCTTTTGCGATTGGCTCAGAGACATGCGGCTCTATAACTTACCCATCAGCTCGCTGTGGAATAACTGCATTGAGGCCAACCTTTGGGACTGTGGGTCGAAGTGGGGTGATGTCTTTATCTGAGAGCTTGGTAGGAAATTCTTCAGCCTTTCACATTCAGCCATTTATTTCAAAGGTTATGTTGGAACTAAGAAATTGAGCTTTAATCTTAGGATAAGCTTGGCCCTTTCTGCCGGAATGCTGCAGACTGCGCCATTGTAATAGATGTAATCCGGGGGAAGGACCCAGAGGATCCATCATCTCGACATGTTCCGCTGGATGATCCATTTTCCGTTGACATAAAAAAACTCACAGTTGGTTATCTTGATGATGCTGAGATGGAGGTTAGTCTACTTTAAAAGATGGGCATTTGCATACATACCAATCAATTCATATGTATTTACATATCTAACGCCTAAACTTTACTTATTTACCTTTTGTACCACCCAAATCTTTCATATCACATAAAAAATGCCACCATTTTGACTTTTAAAAAGTGAAATACAACTTTTCATACATAATAAGGTGGTATATATATAAAAATTAAAGTGGTATTAGACATGTAAATATATTAGAATTAAGTGGTATTTATGTAAATCTTCCAAAAGATTATCTAGCAGTGCTGGAATTGCTTTGATCATCATTGCTATTTTCTTCTTCCTCATGGCAGGTTGTGCATGTGCTATCTTCCATGGGCGTTGAAGTTGTTCCTTTCAAGCTAAATTATAGTGTCAAATCAGTGCAGCACATCCTCAATTTCACTATGGATGTGGAAGTATTGTCACATTTTGATAAGTGGCAGCGGAAGGGGCTTGATCAAGAATATGAAGCACAGGACGAGTGGCCGGTTGAGCTAAGGCGTGCTCGAGTGATCCCCGCTGTAGACTATTTGCAGGTTCTTGTTCTTGAATCCCAAAAAAAAAAGGATTTGTTTGCTATAAATTTATTTTATATTTTTATGTTTCTTTTTTATTTTATTTTTAAAAATATGTTTATTCAGTGTGTGTATATATATATATATATATATATATATATTGTTTATAGAAACAAATTATCGTGTTTTTAAAAACACTCAAAATAACTACTAGGTCTTTTTTAGTATTTTTAAAAATAATCATATTTTAGTCAAATATGTCAAATATATATTTTTTTCAAATCAAAACATAAACAGAACAAAATAAAAAATAGAAAAAAAAATAAAAGTTAACCCAAATAGAATTTCAATGCAATTTAAAACATATATAAATTTAGAGACTCTTTGGAATCAATTTTTATTTTTTTTATTTTTATTTTTGAAAACGAAAAATAGAAAACAAACATAAAAATAAGGTTTGCTTATTTGTTTTTTGTGTTATATCTATTTTTATTTTTTAGGATAACACTTCTGTTTTTAAAATACTAAAAACAGAAAAACATGTTTGTGCCTGCTTTTAAAACACCAAAACAACCCTTTGCCTAGTAGGCCTTCGCCGCTCGCCCCCCTTCGCCGTTCTTCACCCACCCGCGCTCGCCGTTCTTTGCACCTCTGCCTCTGCCTCTACCTCCAACAGCTAGCCCTCACCTGCCTCCACCAACGCCGGCCACCGAACGCCGCCTCCTTCTCGTCGTGGCTAATTGTCGCCGATTGCCGCCCGCCGCCCGCCGCCTGCCTGCCCACTGCAACCCACCCTCTGCCTTCTGTTAGTTGCCCACCACTAGGACTCTCAAAAAAGCTCGTTTGTTAAGTAAGCAAGCTGAACATGAACAATTTTTTTTAAGCTCGAACTATAAACGAGCCAAACACGAACAACAATTTGTTGCTTGTGTTCGGTTTATTTTAGCTCAACAAAAAGAAATTACATACTTTTTTATATAAGAGCATGTTATATATTATTTATATAATAATATATTATATATATTTATATCTAAGTTTAAATCATCTGGTCCATCTTCTGTCTCCTGTAGTCCTTCTGTCGGACCTTCAATCCCACCGCCTTCCGTGAATGAACTTTGTTCATTATTATGCGCATTTAGATATAGGAAGAGGGAGAAGTCATCATCATCTTCTCCATCGGATGCATCTTCCTTGCTTGATATTTGGGGGACATCTTCTTCTTTTTCAAAGTAAGAAGTATCCCAATGGGTTTCTTCGTCTCAGATAGACTCATTTTCAAGGATGACGAATATAAGCTCATCCTCTTGTTCCGAGGATGTTGAGGTTTCCCCTTTTGTGGATGATAGGGGTAGGGATGGTTTAGCTGAATAATCGGTGAAAGAAAGACGGAGAGTACCGTCAATCCTTTGGGATGTATGGAGTTTTTGTGGAACTTGAATTGTTTGTTGGGAGGAAGGTTTAAAGTTCCAAGTAAGGCCTTGAAGTTGATTGATGGTATGTCGATTTCCGGGAATTGCTGTAATACCATGAGATGCCAGGTAATCTGCGATTCCTGATACGTTGTATAGGAATCCAGTATGGCTCGCGTTTGTTAGCCTTGAGACCAAGACTCTTGTGATTAATAGGTTTGATTCCCCTCCTTGCCATTCTTCGTAGCCATGAGTAAGGACGGCCAATTCTATATGGTTCATGAAATCGTGGATTGACATCATCATGTTTGGTGTAATGTACATCAACTGAGTTCCAGCCGATAAGTCCACCTCCATTGTTCCGATTATTGAAACATCGGACCTCCACCGTGCATCTCGTAGGACAATAAGGGTTGTTGTCCCTGCATCTCTCCTGTGTAAGGCATGAACCCTTACCATTATAAGACCCAAGTGTATGTGCTCGAGTCCTTCCTGCAACAGTTGTTGGTACGACTGTTGTTGAATAAAAGGAAGGTTAACCTGCTCCCCATCCGTAGCAAGTATTCTTTCTTCTGAGTAGTGCTGGTATACTTTGTGTTAGTATTAGACCGACCGTCTTCATAGAGAGTCTCAGCAGACACTAGATTAGCTCTCCTTTGCTGCGAGATCCGGAGTTCTGATTCCGGGTCTATTCTTGACTTCAACGTTCTTCTATGCGTATTACGCTTTTGAAGACGTTTTTGCAGTTCATGACCCAACCTAGATCTCATTCTGTACCCCCGAATTTGATCATCAATGGTTGGCGTAGGTGCTGGTGTGATGCTAGAATTTCTGGTGGATTGGTTGCGGATAAGGGAAGTAGTACTCCTGGATGAGGAGGCCATCTAGATAGTTTTTTGCTTTTCCTCCCAAAAGATTTTTTTAGGATCTTTGAATATGAAAAATGATCCTCTTGGCTTGGTGATCTTCAGGGCAGGTTGCTCCTTCTGATCTCCTAGCGATAGTGCTTTCAGTTGCTTTTGTAAGCCTGAGATGGAGGACTCAATGGATTCTACTTCAACTGGGGCTTTGTTGGAAATTTGCTGCAGTTTATCTTCCACCGTCTTTAATTTCTCTGCGATTGTTAGTAAAAGGTGTATAATAGTATTGTTTTGTTTGATTAAGCAAGACAAGACTGATGTTCCTTGCTTTGCTTCTGCAAGATTAAGGAAACCGACAGGTGGTGGATCTAATGATTCCATAGCCTTTAAAGCTGTCGTATAATCGGTACTGCCTGATGCGATGTTTCAATCGTTCATATAAAACTTTGAAAGGGTACGCCAATAATAATGATTAAAAAGAACTATCTCAAAATCACTTTTCAACAATCTGTGATGATTTAGCTCATATAATCTGCCTTCCCTCAATGATTAACATATATCTTTGAAATTATATTTCCTTATAGCAGACGTCTTGTATATATATTACCTAAGATCACAGAATAAATAATATTTTTGAGTTTTGATTAAATATAAGACAGGTTCCTGAATGTAACCCAGTCAGTTCCTTTTCAGCCCTACGATTCCACAGTGCTCTTATCCTCAGGGTCTCTTCGTGACACTTGGGCTTACTAACTGAACTGATTGGACACAGCATCCTGACTCATATTTAACCAGAACTTCAAAATAGAACTTATATCAGATCTACAGTAATAAACACAATCAATTTTCGGCCTCAAGAAATATAATCCAAAAATATACCAGCAGCCTGTGAATATGACGCAACAGAGTTTTCTTACCTCTTTTACTCAGAAATTTGAGATAATATGAACAAAATCAAGCACAGAGCCTACTCAGATCATCTGAGATAGTAAAGGGAGTTTAGCTAGACATGTTTTTCCAAATCTAGCTTTGATACCACTAGACTGACTTTCAGAATATAAGATCGTTGGCTCGGGGTCACAAAGAACTTTTGCCAATGTAAATTAAAACAAAATGAAGTTGAAAGAAAACGAGATATATTAATAACGAAAAGAGAGACGCTTACAGAAATGAAAGACTCAACTCTAAAGAAGGAATAGGCTTCAAGATTATTTCTTGTGTGTCTTCTCCTTCAAAATAAACTCCTATTTATAGCACTTCATGACAAGGGGCTAAATCGTAATTTAACCCTTACAAATATAAGATAACAGATAAGATAAGCGACATGTGTCTCTAGTGGCTAAGCTTTTGCAATACCCTGTTTTATTCCCGAGGATCCTCCTTAGTACTTTTAATTCTTGAATAACTTTTGCAACATGTTTTCCTTCGATCCGACGAGCATTGTGTCGTAGGTTGTCCCTTCTTTCCGAAGTGATGGGTGATTCGAGCGACTCCCATAAGATACTTCAGTGTTCGTTGGCTGCATTTTCGGAGCTGCATCCTCTTCTCCTGGTGCGAGGAACTTAAAATACCGCCGTCCAAAAGAGTTGTCGATAGGAACCCATTTCTGTCTTCCTGTACTTCTGGGATCCATTCTGCAAGAAATTTGTTAATTTCTTTCTCTTCTGGTTCAGAACCTGCACATAAAATAAACGTTAGCTTTGAAAGGTTGTCGTCGGCGAGGATGTTTTTTCCGTCAATATGTTCGAAATTAACGGTGATCCCCAAGCCATTGATGAAGTCTGTGAATGCGAGCCATCGTACCCTAGATGGCTTGTTATTGACCATCTTATTATAGAATGAGATGATAGTTTGACAATCGGTGCGTAATGTGATTTCGCTTTTGTCAAGGTAGTGGATTTTTAAGACACTCAGAGTTTTCATGCATGCGTGAATTTGCGCATCGATTGTTGACTTTACGTTTGGGAACTTCCCACTTGCGTAGGCACAGACTCGTTCAGAACTTCTGGGATCTCCCTTTTTGTTCTTTCATTTGCAGACGCCACCCCATCCTTCCATGCATCCGTCTGTTTCGAGAATTACGTAGGCCTTTTCTGGGGGTAGTTCAAGGTCTGGTAGGTTTCGGACTAGAACTTTGATCTTTCGTACAATTTCCCAATTGTGAGCCTTCATTTTTTTATCTCCGTGCGGTGACGTCTTCTGGTAGAGCGGTCCTAGCAAAACCCCTAGGTTAGGAATATAAGTTCTGGCATAGTTGAGAATTCTTAACCAGGAACGCAACCCTTGCTTCTCCTTTAGTTTGTCATCAGGGAAGTCAACAATCTTCTTTATGATGTGTGGCTGGAGTTTTATTTTTGAGTTACCGATCACCGCACCCAAAAATTCCACCTGTGAGGTTCCCACTTTCATTTTAGTTGCCGATAAGACTAGTCCTTGTTCCACAATCCTCAGGAACTGCTCCAAGTGCTCTTTGTGCTTATATTCATTGTCACTGAAAATGAGTACGTCGTCAATGTATACTGCAATGAATTTAGAATACTTACTAAAACAGTTATCCATCTTCCTTTGAAAGATTGCTGGTGCATTCTTTAACCCAAAAGGCATTACAAGCCATTCGTACAGGTCTGTTAAGACGACGAAAGAGGTCCATTCTATAAACTCCGGGTGCATAGCAACCTGATGGAAGTCACTTTTTAGATCAAAATTCGAATAGATTTTGCTGGTACTATGTGACATCTATTGTGTGACTTTA